GGACAGCTAATATGTTTCTAAATTTGCCCATTTTTCCTTAGTGTGAGAATAAAATCCCAAACCTGACAGAGCAACGTGACCTTCTGACAATCTTTATGTTCAGTTGTTTTGTTTGCTTCTGTGTGTTGGAGTGTCTTTAAAGTTAACTTGCATTTCTCTCCCGTGGGAGGAAAAAGAGGTTACTTATAGAGCTTTTACATACCTTTTTATAGTTGAATTTAGATTCTCTGTTTTGAATAATTAAACTGAAACTAGAGTACCTTTACTGYATTTTGGCAATTGTACAGGAAAAATCGATGAAATGGTTTAAGTGACGGAGTCTAAAAGGAACCTCAAACTTGAGCGTGTACTCATAAGCTTTTTTCCTAACATACAATATTACTGGGCACCTATTTTTTCTCTCCCYGAGCTTTGATTGAACAGTAGCTTTGATTAAATAGTTGCTGGTTACTATTGTACCTTCGAAATTTAATAACAAAAGGCTTCCTTCAAACCCTGAAACTTTTATCTAAATTGCTTTTCTCTTAAGTGATTGTGAACTCCTCTACTATGACAGAAGAGAGCATGAAAAATCAAAATTTCCCCAGGAAGATTATTTTTCTGAAACGGACTGTTGAAGGCTAAGTGGAAATTCAGTTAGCTGCTCCAGAACTGAATGCATGTCAAATGCATCCTATCTCTGAAGACCATTAAAAACAGAACAAAAACTACCATGGAAGTATTGACACATTTTCAYTGGGAAGCAGAGAGTGGGTTGACAGACAAGTATGTGGAGATATCCTGTGTCCTGTTATTCCTTTTCAAATTGGTTCTTAGTCCMTTTCCTCATGTTTTTATTGAAGTTAACTCTTTCAAAGTTACTGTCATTAATGATGTATTACTGCATGTGACACCCAGAATGCCCTCTGGTTTATATAAAGGTTTGTAGGATACAAATGCAAGTTTGTAGGATACGCATTTAAGGTGAGGGGTGTTAGCAGGGGAATGTCAATTTGGAGAATTGGGTTTTTGCCCTGCAAAACTCTGTTTTGATGAGTCAYGCTGGTATCAGAGTGCTGCTGTGCAGGCATTGGAGGTGCCTTCAGAGAGTGATTCATTGATGGCAATGAATCACACCCTGAAATCACTTATCTCTTCAGCAACTAAAGTGGGTCTAAATGACTAGCTCTACTGTAGGTTTATACCTTTGAGGGATCAGAAATGAGGATCATGAAATCCTCACCTGACTTCTCCACAGAAATGTATAGCTTTGTGAGAGTAAACCCAACAGCTAGATCACAAACAACCCATAACCCAGTCCTAACTTGGAGACCAAGGCCTGTGCGATGAGGGCCTGGCCATGCATCAGCCAGGGCAGTATTTAGATTGCAGCTGTGGTTTAGCTGCAAAAAAGAAATCTTTCTGGTTTATGTCTATCCTTAAAATATCAGAAAGCAGCATTCTTAGTAACTTAGTCTCTCTTTCAGACCCCAAATGTCATGATTTGGCATGCTGTTGTGTAATAACTGAAGGAATTGTGGTGTATCCTATTTTTCAGAAATTCAGTCACGTCTCCTGCCCAGTCCACGCCAGGTTACAGATTCTAATGCAAAAGAGGACTAAGTTAGTTTTCTTGTCCTACTAAATATTTCAGCTATTTCCAAACAGCTTCTGGCATGGCAAATATTATATGGATGAAGAGCTTGGTCTCAAAAGAAAAAAGAAAAGTTCTTTTAGTGTTAACTTAGACTGGTTAAAGTTGCATGCAAAAGACAGTTTATTGCAAAATAAAATGCCCTGTCCTACTTGTTCCAGAGGAGATGTGGTCTGGGATGTGAGGACAGCCCTAATGCCTTAACTTTTGGGCAGTGTTCCTTTCTGGCTCAGTTTTTATGATCTTGCATCAGTTAGTCTTCCCAGATTTCAACTTGCAGGTGTGAGATGAGAGACATGATGTGTCTGTTGATGGCTGCTTTTTTAATCCCATTTAGCTAAATGAATTGGTGGTTAGTGAGTGTATTCTAAGCTTAAGCCTTTCAAGAAAGGAGGGGCAATTCATAGTGTTACTCTGGGTTTATGGTTTAGCTCCATTGAAGTAGGGCAGCATAAAGGGATGAATGGAGCTTTCTCTTGGAAAGTAAATATAGAAGTTATAAATCTGGAAGTCTGAAGAATGGAATAGAGTCTCTATTAACCTCAAGACCTGGATTCCCTCATGCTGGGGGCCTCTTCAGTCTGCAGGAGTTTTAGAGGCTCCTGTGAGGTGCACTGCACATTTCTCAGTGCCCCTATCAAAGACCCATATATTGGAAATGATTCTCCAAGGAACTCCCGGCCAGTATTCCATAAACTGGGAGAGTGATAGATGCAATTGAGCTCTTCATGTGCCACATCCAAAGTATGGGTCCAACCTGGATGAAGTCATGGAAAGTGACACAACTCAGCCCTGAAAATCAAGCAAGAAAATGACAATGAAGCTTAATGTAACTGTTAAAAAAAAGGGCCCTTTTGTGACTATTCGGCAGCTGCAATTTTTCAGCCTGAAGAACATCTCTTTCTTTCTTCTGCAAGAAAGTCAATACAGGAGAGGGGAGCAGAGGTTTTACCAATTAACAAGTAAGAGCTGTAATAGATTTTCACTTTTTATGTAGTAACTTTTTGCATTACATCTTGAAATATGTTTTCAAGATTTGAGTGCAGAAAACCTCTGGAAATCTCTCAAACTCAAACTTCTGGTGGGTTTCTAAGAGGTGTATGCATGTGCATGGGCAATCCGGTTGCCAGAATGAAACCCTTTTTCCTACTGCTGAAGGGTTTGTCAGCAGCAGTATTAATATTGCCCATGAAACAAATAGACTGCAAAGCCCATTTTTACGTAGGAAATTAAGCAAATGCTTATTTGCATCCACTGCGTTTACTTTAATTGAATATTTGGGTAGATTAAGGGAGGAGGAAGCCCTACCAGCTCTTAAACACATGTGGATTAAGGCACAAAACAGCCTGTATTTAATCCCTTAATCTCAGAGCAGCAGAAAATAGATACAAGCTTCAGGAATCCAATTGGAACAGACCAATGGAGGGAATATTGGAGCATCTTGGGCAGAGAGGGTATGAATGGAAACTTCTGAAGAGACCTAGCAGAGGAATCATTGCAGCCTTTCTCTCTCCACATAGGTTAAGTCCTTGCTAAACTCTAAGGGGAGGCAAGATAAATCACTGCAGCCTGCCTCTAATTTGTCTTTCTTCCTTGCTATTATTGAGCTGTCATATAATACATGTCAATTTGTACACTTTATTCTGGGAAAAAAAAAGCTTTATATTATTGTATTCCTTTATAGCTTATTCTAGGCAAATAAAAATAATTTTCAAGCAGAGGTATTGAGTAAGTAGCTGAACCTCTTGTATTGCTTTATTTTAAGCATTGCTGTTTATCTGTTAGCAGAAACTTAATCCCATGAAGAATTTCTGGTTTTATCAGCTACTCCCTTTAAAGGATTAGACACCTTTCAGTGAGGACRTTATTAACCAGAGTCATGAATAAAGATGCTCTTTCCATCTGAGGAGCAACGCGGACGGTGACTGGGTAGCACTGATTGTCTGTCTTGAGCACGTCAGTTATTTTGTTCCGTGTTCAGCGATTTACAGCAGCCCTGCGTTGGAGCACGTCTTTAATTTTGCATGTGGCATTGCAGGATGGGGCTGCTTGCTCCTTAAAATATTGATAGGGATGGTGTCTGCCAAATTCCTGTAATTCTCCAACTAGGGTTTGAAAGAACACCCTCTTGCTTTGTCTGAACAGCTCCAGTAGCTCAGCATGGTAATTTTATGGGTAGTAATAAGTATCTCTACTTTGAAGCAGCAGAAGCAGAAATTTCTGGGAGTTTTGAGTGTCATGTTGACATGTGATGAATTAAGGCTGATGATAACCACAGTAAAATTGCGATTGTTCTGAGATCTCTTCTGACCTCCCGTTCTTAAAGGTGCAATTATAACGTAATTATTTTGTTCTTGGACTGGGGCTTTTTTTATTGTTTCTTTTTGAGGAAATGTCTAGTGGGCCTATAGCTGTTCAGTCTGATTGTTTCCATTTTGACAAATGCTTTCCTCCTTTTCTGGGTAAGCAAGTGTGGGTGGAATTAGGGCTTCTTTATAAAACTCCTTTACAGAGCAAGGTCTGAAGTTTTGTAATACTGAGAAGGCTCTTTAGGTCTCTGAAAATGTATGAATTTCCCAATAACATGCTAACTTACAACACAAAAATGATTATTACATTCAATGAGCCTGAGATAGAAGTGATTAGAGTGTAAACAGGGAGATACGTGTACTGTGCTGTTGATTGACTTGCATTTTTCTTTGGTGTTCATTTTTGTGTTCCTTTTTATGTTCATTTTAAAGCAATAGTTTCAATGATAATATGGGAAAGAAGAAAAATTTTCAGTCTAAGTTTACAGATGATGTTCAAAGACTGTTCTGTTGGTTGTCATGCTAGGGTTACTGCAGAGCAATCCACCCTTCCTGTGAGCTGGACAGTAATGGAAATGCCTTTCAGCATCTTCTCAAGATTCCTTACTAAAAATACTGGTTTTGTTTTGAAGCAGTAAGTTTGTGGCCCCAACCTATGTGAGATGGGAGTTGGAGTGTTGAAGGTCTCACGTTCTCTGGCCTTGATTTTCATATTCTRAAACGATGGCATCCCTGTTGTAGTCTGAGTTGCTGCTGTCCTACGAGCAAGCAAACAATAACAGTAAACTTGTTAGGTCTCCAGAAGCTCATTTTTGGAAGTTAAAAATGACATGCCAGAACAATTCATAATTTTAGGGATCTGAGACTGTGATTCCCGCATTTTGTGCATGTTTAGGCAGTGCGTGAAACTTGTTGATGTATCTGTTAACTTGTTTTCTGYCGTTCTTTGTTTATTATTGTCATTCCTAAAGATCAATCTACTCAAAACTCTAAAAAGCTGTGCAAATCCCGAGGGATGGCTTCTCTGACTGGATTATGGTAATATATTGTCTCTCCAGGATTTACGAACGTGTCATTGATCCCCCAGAAACTGATTTGACACCTGAAAGCAGTTTATGGCTTGGACAGAGGAATAGGAAACACGGTTTCTTCAAGGTAAGCGGATATGAAAGAGCATGTGGAAAAGTAAATGGCCAAACAGACCATGCAGTAACTGGCTTATCTGACACATGGTGGGTTTGTGTGAATGCTGGTAGAAATTTGAGGCTCTTGATGTGGGTCAAGTTCAACACTTGATGGAAAGGGTCTTTTTTTGCAAGGCAGAATGTTGTAGCCTTTGTCTGCAGCATTGAGTATTTGGGCTTTTTGGAAGTACTTTCTTTTTAGGTATTTTTCCCCAATGAGGTGCCTGTCACCTGTGTTTATCCACACTGATGAAGAAAAGCTCGTCTGGTGATACATTAATCTGKGTATCCTCAATCTTGACGTGATTTTTTACCACCCACTTGCTTTCCCTTTGAGCAGCCTCTTCACAAACTGATCTCACAAGTTGCCTTTTTTGAGGACCTCTCCTCCACATCCCTCAATTTCAGCCAGCCAGGAGGATCGTTTGGTGCTAAGTTATTTCGAGTAAAACTCCTGTAGCAACTCCAGCAATTGTGAAAAAGGTAGTAAAAAACTAACTGTAGTTTTAATTTAAATGGCAGTCCAAGAGTTGCTCCGAACCTGGAGCTGGCTTCATCTTCCAGTAGCCAAACGGCAACTGCCACGTGGGATTGATGGCATTATTTTATTCTACAGCTGTTGTTTTTACCTCAGCAGCTTCCTATAATTCCACAGATGGTAAACATAYGTTTATGGCTACATAGGGAAGGGACAAGTGATACTGGGTTCCGCCTTCCCCAGTTCTTATTTTATGCAAGCAGAGGCCCAGAACTCTGGGATATTATAGGTTTGTAAATTAATATTTCTACGCATTAACACTTTGGAAACAGCAGGGTGGCTAATGATATGCTAATGAGCYGACAGTTTTTATTGATTGTAATGAAAGTGGACAAGTGCCTTTACTTTATGCATGCTTAAATATTTTGCTAACTTTCTTCAGGGAAGAAATATATAATTAGTTGTATTTTTTAATCCTGCTTAAGAGCTTCCGAAATCTTACTTTTTGTTACTTATTATAAAAGCCTGGGCKTTTGCCAATTTATAAAGCGTTCACATCTCTTCCCATATATTTACATGCTCAGCAGGACCTCCCTCTCTTTTCCAGAGAAATTCATYTCACTGTTTTAGCATATAGGAAAATAGACTTTTTCCTTAGCGTAAACAGGGATCTGCAGGGAAATAAGTAGGAAAAAAAAAGGAATTAGCATCTCTGTTGTAGCCATGGYAATATATGCATCAAAAAGCACTGGGTACAGTTCTGAGTGTTATCTTGGCTATTCCAAGTATATTCTTATTTTAGTGATAGTCAAGGAACTGTTGTGTGTCCCTTGCCACTCCATCAAAGAGCATTTGCAGCATCACGGGCTACGTTCTTGTATCAGTGTCTGTCGATTCAGATACTGCTGCCACAGAGTATCAGCAGAATAAGGGGAAAAGCTCATGTTCCCAAATCCCTGTTTATCAGGATTATTCCCCAAGTAGCCCTACTGCATCCTGGCGATGCCACATCAGAAAAGGCCTTAGTAATAGGCTGCTGAATAGCCCGTTGCTGTCAAGAGATGATTATTTTTCTATCTGCTCTAATGGGCCCTATTGATTCTGCTGCTGGGCCTAGGGATTGTATGGTAGGAAATACAATCTTTCTATTTTTTAAAAGTTCAGGAAAGCATCTTTTCTCGGGCTGGTTTCTTATTAACTGCATGATGTGCAGAGACTTAAGCATTAAAATATATATTTTTTTGCACTTTAACTTATTATTTCTCACTGACTGCTGGCGAGAGGTGTATAGAGCACCTTCCTGCTTGTCCTTTGCCAGTGACAGCGTTACGTCTTATTATTATGATGGCTCCATTATTTTCGTGGATGAAAAGGTTAATAAATGTATACGGTTCTGCAAGAGAGACAGTGTGATCTGATTATGTCTATTAATGTTCCCAGCTAGTGTTTGATCATGGTGCTGTAAGCAGGAAGCAGCATTTGCTGATTGCCTTCTGCTGTTTCAGGAAAGCAGCACATAAATGTGAAATGGTACTTACTGTATTTGCAAGGAGCAGCCAAAGTGTAAAATGACTTCTGTACTATGTTCCTCTCTCCATGTAATATGTTTCACTTGTGGCWTCTCCTAGGCTTGATAACTGATATTATTTGATTGGTTTTTCCCTGTTGTCTTCTCATTTTAAGACACTCAAGCAGCTTATACTTAGTGACTGCAGAAGACAAAACTRTTAAATGTGTCTACTTAATGAAAATTAACATGGAAATGCCCAGGGAGATGGGCAGGAATAATTGCGTTGCTATCCCCATGAGAGGAATGATCTGGTCATTTGTTTGCACTTCTCAACCTTGTTTTTTTTGTGTGTGGGGAGGGAGGGGGGAAATAAATTGTGCAGATCTAAGCGTGTGATTGTAGTTTTTATTACCAGTTATCTCTTCTTTTACAAAGGGTGTTATTCAAGATGTGAAAATCATCTTTATACCTAATGGATATATAACACAGTGTCCTAATCTCAATCGCAGTAAGTAGCAACTTATTTCCTCTAGCGTTTTTTGATTTTTTTTATGAATTATTTCTTTTTCTAATAATGTTTTCAGGCTTGTCRCTTCTTTATACGGTGACTGCCAGGAAGCAAAAATTCTGAGTAAAATTGCATTTGATGTTGAAACTGGCAAATGACCTAGCAACAGAATAGCAAATTTGGTTTGTTTACGGGTTATTGTCTTTCCTTCTCCTTTTTCTTTTCTTCTTCAACTTACTTCATTGAGCTTGCCCAACCTGCAGTGATTTCTTAAGTCTGGTGCAAGGAATCATGGATTTGCAAGAACTCCTGGCCAAAATGACTGCAAAAGTAGGTACCAAAGCTTCATTTGTAAACTCTCCATTTCTTTGAGAACAGCACAGAAGTAATTCTTTAGCAGCTATTTTGTGTTTTCATGACAAACATTTTTTCTTATTTTCCCTCTTCTTTCTGCCAGTAGCTCCATTGAAGGAGATGGCTTTGTGAGAGTCACTGAAGCCTCATAAAGGTTTTGTTCTCTGCTTTACTCTGTCTAAGATGGGGACATAAGGTCGAGGGGGGAATTACAGGAGCCTCCAAAACAGCAGGAGGATCACAGAGATGCCTGCGAAGCTGTTGGATGTGATCATTTCAACACCACCTTTTAGCAAAAATAAATAAATAAATAAAAATCCAATATGTAGCTCCCTCGAATCTCAGTTACGCCACAGGAGTTTCAAAAATAAGTTTTGTATTGTAGTGTTATTAGCGTAAAAGACATACGTGTGATAGTACTATGCTGCCTTTAAGTTGCTTTTTCCCCCTCTTTGCTAATAGGGAAGGAAAGGAAATAATTTGATGAGGGTGGTTTCTCCTGGCCCTCGCTTCCCCAGCTGACGCGCTCTGGACAGACTGAGGCAAAATGAGAAATGAGAGACTTTTAGTTCAGTTTGTGGCTTGTGCTGGGAAATGGAGGCAATTATTTTGAGCCCCGCCGGTGGTCTGGGCATGCTCCAATTATGCAGGGCCCAGAGTAACTTTCTCTGCTGTTAATTATATTTTTCCTCGCTGGTACTTTAGGGGGGAAGTGGATAACACAGTGTTTACTCCAGAGRCTCTGTGCTTCCATAAAGTGGTCCTGGGATTGCCATTCGTTATGAGTTCCTTTGCTCTTGAAGAAGTGCCTGGAGCCTTTTCATGGCAAGGGTTATGGAAATGCCATTGCCAGGGAAAAATACTTGTGGTAGGCATGGGAATTCAGTTGCTGAGTAAATGCATATTGGAAAATGGAGGGATTTGAGATAGGTTTTAAGGTTTGTATCTGGTTTTGTTGGAGGGGGTAAGTAATTGCAGGCAATCCCAGTGCAGGTCCAAGTGGACAATATGAGGAGGATGCCTGACAAGGTGAAAAGCTGCCTTGGAAGGGCTCTGTGCTGCCTGTGGAGGTGGCTTTTGTCCGGGCAGGTGGTCAGAGAAGGGTTTTAAATGTGCACGAGCAGTGGACCCCAGCTCCTGGCCCCCTACCAAGAGATGCAGAGTGCCAGTGTGATGTTGCAGAGAAGCCTTGCCCTCTGGTTTGATGCCAGTGAATCTGTTTGATATAATCTGATCCTCTTGGATAGAAGCAGATAATAGATCAGATTGCTTGAAAACCAGCTAAAATTTGCTGCAGGACAAAAGGATGCTGATGATGATSAGCATTCAGAGCCAGCATGTTGGAGTATTATTGGTTGTTCTTCAAGTATAATAGATAAAATGATTCATACAACATTTGGTGACCTTCTCCTGAAACCCATCTGGGACCTGCTGCATTTGAGCGGGGTATACTGTCTTTTCACTTGTGGGCTCACATGAGTACATGCCTGAGCTGGAGRGAGCTGCTAAAGTCTTCCCTTGATTTGGGTTAAAAAGCCTTGAGTTGGCTTAAAACACAGAAAAGTACTTGAGTTTACTTGATGGACTAAATCTCTTGGTTTATTTATACCACGGATTTATATGGTTAAGGAATGCTTGCATGAGAAAAGTTTCTAGGGAAGCTGAAAGCTTATTTCTAATTTTGCCAGGCAAAAGCAGCTTTTTGCAACAATCTGTCTTTCTGTCGCTCATAGACAAAGGAGCAGCAAGGAAAGCATGAGAAATAGCCAAACAATTAGGATAGGAGGTGGAGAAGGTTGAATAAGGGTGTGAGTTTACTCCCTCGTGAGTTTAGCTTTAAATGGCACGTGCCTGCTCACTATAATATATAGCAGATGAGCTAAATGTGCTTTCTGAACAGGTTGTATGGGCTCTGCTGCATTGGTTGACATGGGAGTATTGGAGGGCCTTTCTTCTAGTAAAGGCATACATATGTATTTTGATAATTGATCCACTCTAAGGTATTGCTTGGAACAGGAGAACTTTTTTTTGAAGTTACTGAAATATCAGTAAGACACTGCAAACCATAGAAAAAACTAAAAAAAACCCAAGTTTTTTATTCTCACAGCGTTTTCTGCGGCAAGTTATTGGGATAGAAAAAGGCACAATGTGTGCCATATCAAAACTGGATGTTTCTAATATCCTTTGAAGTTTTTATAGTGTTCTTCAGGAGGAAGGTTTATTTTTGTATTAAAAATACATGACCCAAACATGTAAATGAAGTACAAACGTAAGACAAATTGCACACCCTTTTTATCAAAACTGAATACATTTTATACACTGTGAACATAACGAGAATTTCTGCTGAAATCAGGCAGCTTAGAGAAAGTTTTGCCTCTGAAATATGAAAAAGAGTTTTAAAGTCCACCCCAAATATGTTGCTCTGTCGGGAAGTAAAATGCATATGTTAGAATAATTATTCCTAACGGGGATGGAATTTTAGAGGATAGAAATGTATACAACTTTGRTCTATGTTATTGTGTAAAAAAGCAGGCTACAGCTCTGCATTCATCTTTATAAAATGTGCTACTATTAACATATATCAGTTTATAATGTGGAATAATAGTTTGGTGTTTAGAATAGGATAGATATTCATTAAATTTTATGCTGGATTCCCATAGTCTCTCTACCTGCAGTGGTTTCAGTCATGTTTTATGCACATTCAGCAAATGAACATAAAAAATCGAGGTCTTGAGGAACTTCAGAGTAATTTCAGAGTTGTGGCAGTTCTGGAGTTTGCAAAAAGCACATATTTACCTCTGAATACTGAGCCTTGGTAGGGCTGCTTTGGATTTTAGTAAGTATGAAGARGATGCTTAGTGTTCTCTGCAGGATTAGAGGTGGCCCTAGGTACAAAGTGGGCTCCAGTGGGGGTGGTTCCTTTTTGGAGGACTCTTAAGAGGATGCTCTGTATGAAGGAAAGGTCTGAGGAAGTGGCGCTTGGAGAAGGCTTGGGGATATGTCAGGTGGATCAAGAAGTGGYGAGACAAAGTTTAGAGTGAAATTTGCCTCAGATAAAAACAAGTATACTGCGTTCTCTTTGCTTTGTTAAAATTTGCTTTGTTAAAATCGTGCCTGTTTAAATTATAAAAGTCTCATCAAGTTACTTTGATGTTTAGCTAAATTATGCAGAAACAAGACTGAGTCAATTGGAAGACTGTCATTGTGAGAAGACTTGTCAAGTAAATGGAGTGATCTACAGAGACAAAGACTCATGGGTGGAAGATGATCACTGCAGGAACTGCACGTGCAAAGTAAGACTTTCTACAGGATTTAAGGAGTAGGGCTTAATTAAAATGTGAAACGGGAGCTTGAATACAAAATGCTAACTCTGAAAAGAATTTTTTTTTTTTTTAGTAGGCATCTAGTGGTAGGGAATTCTTTCTGTTTTCTTTATAAAGTCTGCACAGAAGAAATACCAGGTTTTATTTAAACAAAATCTGTTTCCCTCGACAATTCTTATTTGTCCTAATTGTATCTGTGAGGACTTCACTCTCTTGGGGTGAAATTATAGTGTTATAGTGACTGGTTCAGAAATGTTTCCACTGCAGTAGCCCTTTTTTTTAAAAAAAAAAAAAAAAGTAATCTTAATAGTATTCATAATCTTAATAGTATTCATAGATGCTTAGTTGCATCTTGCATGGTAACAACATGCAGATTCGGTTTTCAGTGTTTATCGCCTTGAAAACCCAAGGTGCAGAAGAGAATTAGAATGTAAATCTTGCCTTCTTGAAATTATTTGATAAATATCTGAAGAGACTCTTTATTTGCTCAAGAAAATAGAAAACAGATTGTTAAAAATCTTCAAGGTGATTGGCAGAGCCTGTGAAAAGTGGTGCTTACATTCTTGTAAAGATGGGTTTTTGTGTTGCACTTAGTCTGCTCTGCTACTCCGGGCAAATGGGGGTACAAGCAGTAACGGCAAAATCAGGGGATTGTCCTTCAGATGTGTCTAGATGCAAATTGGGAGTCAAGATGAAACTTTTTGCTGGAAGATCTAATCCTCAGTTTTCTGCCTTATATTTTGAGTAAAACACTTGCTTATTACAACAATTCATGGCTGAATTTTCTCTCGATAACCCTCATTTAGAGCGGCGTTGTGGAGTGCCGAAGGATGGCCTGTCCCCCCCTCGAATGTCCTCCCGATGCTCTCCCGGTGCACGTGGAAGGCCAGTGCTGCAAAGTGTGCAAGGGTAAGGACRCTCCATGGAGCTCTTGCATCTACGCTTCAAGTGATGCTAAACCTGCCCCGAGAACATCTTGTAAGATCTCGTAGGTTTTGCTAATCAGGAAATGTGAGCAGCAGTGGGAAGTTTGACTTGAGAAGAAAATAATTTGTTGGTAAATACACTGAACTGTTGCAGACTTATAAGGTTCTCTTGCTACACAGTGTTACCATAAAATTATTTTTCCACTCTTGTGGAGAAAAAACTGACCTGGCTTTGGCTTATTTGCTGCTGATGTTGAAGAGCATGAAGTCTTCAGCTTCAGCATTCCACAGTGATGGGTAATAAGCTGAAGTACTGTGGCCTTTTTGCATTTCTTTTGCTTTGGTTTGAAAGACTGTTCTTCAAAACACATAATTTTAGGTATTATGTTAATATCACTGTGTGGAGTGATGCTTTATTTTCAGCCTTTTCATAAAGCAGCATCAAAAAGGAAAAAGTGGTAGTTCATCCTATTGTTGAAGGAGGTACATTTTATGAAGCAGAAATTACCCTTTTCTTGGAGACCAGTAGACTTCAGGTGTGGTTGTTTCTGTAATTTACAAGACAGATTTTGAATTATATTAAGACTAATTAGGGGAAAAAAAGCTTTTTTTTTAACCATTCTGTCACCTTTCTTCTGTCACTGAATATATTAGCCACATGCACATATTTCCCCTAGCTGTGATCTTTCACTTGCTGCTGTTGACTCATGCCATCTCCTTTGTCACAGCTGCATGTTGATGAGGGTYCTGCTTAGCAAAGGAGGTCTGAGGAACAGTATTTAAGTGGTAAAATGGTGCTTTTTCTTCAATCTTGAAATACTTCTATTTCTAAAATGTGGAGAGTATTGAAAGCTGCTTCCTGAAGACGTGGTTAGGAGTAGCCCTCTGGATGATGTCTTCACTAAAGTGTGTGCAAGCACAGAAGTTGGAATTTGACCCTGAGGAATTGCAAGGTGCCAAATGGTAAATTGAGCCCATATCAAAGTTTTACTCGCCATGAGTCAAACTAAGCCATGTTTCTGGTTTCTCTTTGTTGTGATGGAAAGATGAGCCATCAAACTTGCCTTTTGTCAGTGAGTGGCACCACCCCGACTCAGCACCCTGACAAGGACTCGGCATGTCTGTCGATGCACAAAACTCTATGGACGTTGATTGGAATTGATTGCAAGTGCTGGTTACTCGACAGGGACATAGGAGGGCCACAGGCAGTTGTATGTACAGCAGTAATTGCTGGGGCTTCCCAAAGCTCTGCCCTGCAGGTATTACCTTCCCTCTCCTTTTCCTATTAAGCTCCTGTAGAATCATTAGTTGTAATTTGCTGTCTCTAGGGATTATTGAAAGGCTGGATTATTAAGGAGTTTCCTGTCTTAGCTGTGCACTAACGAGCAAAGTGGTTCTAACATCTGAAATGCAAAGGGCCTTAGAAATGAGGCGGGTCTGTTGTGATCACTGCCTCTTGCGTTAGCTGTTCTGGCTAATATTTGTCAAAGGGCTGTAATTCCCCTTAAAATTTCATTGTTCTCGAGTTGTCTTTCCTTGCCTTTTTGGGCATTCACACTTGTGTTGAAAGCAGTTGTCTCCGGAGAATAGGAAGAAAGAAAAAGCAAATTGCTCAAATTCATCTTTTCTCCCCCCAAATAGTTGCTGGGTTTCCTAATTTAAACACAGCTCCCTGATCTAAAGTGTCTCTTATAAGTGAGATCACAACAGCTCCAACATATAAAAACTAGGGCAGCTTTAGAGGGGGGGAAAAAAGGMAAGAAAAGTAGGATACCAAAAGGAAGAAGCCTGGTTTTTAAAAGTGTTGTTGACAGTGAAATCAGTTCTTTTCAAAGGCTTTTGCCTTTCTCTTCTAGAAAAGGGAGTGAATTTTTCATGTTTACTTCTAAAAGGTTGCTGATGGCTATGGTAGTGTTTTGTCCTTGCTGTTTGCTRCTAGGGCATGGCTGCATGTTGCCTTGCTTAAGGTGGCAAGTATTCCTAAACTCAACTGGTTGATTTTGCCTAGAACTGGTTGCAGCATCTTCAGGTCTGGCTCTGCTGTGGAGCTGATCACCTTGAGCAGTCAAATTTGGGGGAGAACCTTTTGCTCGACTGAGACTGCAGGGGCTTTTCACAATAGCTTCAGTGTTGTAGGACCTTTTGTTTGCTGTGAAATCTGCTTGCTTGATGTATGCATTACAAATGTGTTTTGCTGCAGTACATTTCTTATTTATTCTTATTTATCGGTGGTTTGCTACATCTAGTCACTTTTTTGCAGTGCTCCAGCAAGTCCACCCTTGTGCCCACATAAAGTCTGAGGGTTTAATTGAAATCTGTGCTTATATTGCTCTCATGATGAGCACAACACTAATAAATGTCTTGTGTTCCTGAAGTGCAGCGTGAAGCCTTCTGGAAAGGCAAATATTGTAGCTAATCTAACAATCTCAGTAATGAAAATATTTGCTAATGAATACTAATTAATTAGGTCCAGTATCAATTGTCTAGCGTGCTATTCCTGTTTTTCACTTTGCGTAAATGAGCCCCTTGCTCTTAAAATGGATTTATTGTTAATGGATTTATTTTTAATTATATATAATACTGACTTCCAGTGGCTAGATGCAAATGACTGTGTTGTGTTTTTAACGCTGTGTCTGTATTTCCCAGAGCGTGTGACTCTTGCTTTGACTTTTGTGCTGCTGTTTGCATTTGCTTACAGCCTAAATACTGATTTTTTTATCTCTCTCTTTTTTTTTTTTTTTTTTTTCCCCTTATCCCTTCTTCCCTCTCCTCCTCCCAAATTACAGCAAAGTGCATCTATGGAGGCAAAGTACTAGCAGAAGGTCAACGAGTTTTAACCAAGAGCTGCAGGGAATGTCGAGTAAGTTTTTAGCACGTGAACTTTTCCTGATTTTTAAGTGAATGTGGAGGCTTCAAMAGTGACAATGATAAGTTAGGGTATTTCTTGAGGCTTCTTTCATGCAAATGTGACGTCCAGCTGTCTTGAAAAGGTTACCTTGAAGTCAGCGAAAGCCACAAACATGCAAACAAGGCAGGAGGAAGACTGGTTYAATGTAATAAGTAATAAGAGGGATGTTTTCTATCTGCTGCTTTCAGGAGCCCTAGGAAGAGGCAGCATCTTGAGCTAGTCTGATTTCAGCCTCAACTACTCTGTTTGTTTTTACTCGCTTATATTGAGTATAAGTGAATATATTGAGTATATATTATCTAGTTTGCCTTGGTATTTAACCCTGGTCACAATGATATTAATGACATTAGTGGGGCTAAAATGCTAAAGTCTTCATAGTGCTTAGGTGACTGTAGTCAGTATTTAAGGATATAGGTATATGGGGGATATAGTAAGTAGGAGGGATCGGCCCCCTGCTCTGTCAAGGCAGGCATTTGCTGTAACTAGAGCCTGTGCGTGCTTTGAATTTGGCTTGCTGCTTCCAAAAGGCAGAGCTCTTCTAAATACGTCTGCTCCCACCTATAATTTTGCAGTATTTTGTTCCTTGCATCTCGTAGAGTTTTTGCAGAGGAGGAAGGGCGATAACAGGCAGGCTTACCAGTATTATTGACAGATCAGTGTGCTGCAGCAATTAGGAAAAGCATTTGGGAAAGAGCCCAASGAGCTGCTTATTGTTGCCTTGGGGGCTGAGGGTGCAGGGTAGCAATTTTGGGCTTGCTAATGGCAAGGGACAATAAGAAGAGGTGCAGGCAGCTTGGGCAGAGTAACTTGGCTGCTTCTATAGGGAGGCTCAGCACCGTATATACAAATAGAGGCCAGGGTCATTGCCTCCAAGTCCAAGGGTCTGTTAGGTTAAAATAGCTGTTTCGGTGTTTATTTGGGAGGGGAAGTGTCCATATAAAATGGCAACAGGAGGAGTTTCACATTAAAATGATGACTTGCAATGTGGAATGCAGGATTTCTTCTCTGCTGCTAATGACTACTGCCTTATTAGTCTTCTTATTGTAATGATTTTGATAATAAATTCAGGAAAGTAAAACAAATACTGACCTTTGGCAGCTTCTCATATTAGAAATTGCTGAAATAATGTATTTTTTTTATATTGTGTAAACAYTGAGATGCATTTGTGTAAAGGTATGTTACGTTTCCCTGTGTTGTCACTTCAGGGGTGAATTGATGCAGCCGTGTTTATTGCAGTCATGTTGCAGACTGTAGTATTTCCATATCAATGAAGCTGTGAATAATGGCCATTCTCTCCATCTTGCAAACAGCAGCTGTTAGTGAGACAGTGCAAAAGACAGAGCTGTTGCCTGCAAAAGGGTATTTTCACTATTTTCACTATGATATTTCAAGAAGACCTTCAACCTAACTACCAAAACTTGTCACCCCAGCTTGGGCAAGTGGGTGTCTACCTCTGCTCTTATATGAGGATGCATCCGTAGGGAGGGAATGCATTTGCTGTAGTTTAAGCATGACCCTCTTGAAGCCTCAAGTGCAACACCTGCTTATTTATTGCCTCGACTAGGCAAAATGACAGTGTAKGCTACCCAGACTGCTAATTTACCATAGTAATAATTTTGTTTCCTGTGCAGGACAAGGGGAGGACACTTGTATTTTTTTGACATTGGTTGTAGTGCTAAAGTGTGAGCTTTGTGCTAGGGGAACAACAGTGGAAAATTTTATGTGGTTTGGTTTTTTTCCCCAGACTTGAAAAACAGACCTCAAGCTTGAAAAGCTGTTGGCCCATGAAGGGCACACTGTGGAGGGTACATGTCAACTGTCAATTTATTAGCGTTGATAAAGTTGACTTGCAAAACCTGAGGGGAAGTATCTTTGGGAGTRATTCTTGCCTCTGTAAAAGAGAATATATATTAGTGGGTGGATAAGGGAAAGGAGGATTTGTTTGTAGGTGGGGTAATGTCAAGAAGATGCAATTGAAATTTCACATTTCCATTTTTATTGGAAGATGAAATTATTTTATTCCTTGTGTGGATGCTGATCCAATCTAAAGAGGCTTTTAACTTGTATTTATTCCACCTAACAAAAATATTACTGATGGATTCAGATAAATAGAAGGTTTTCTGTCAGGTTGTGTGCAGAGCTTTTGTTTTGAAAAGTAATCCAGACTTGGAAAAAAAAAGACTGCACATCCTCTTAATCATAAGCACAAATGCTGCTGGTGGACAGTTGTTCTGTTGTTCCCAGCTGGAATTCTGCCCACAGACACTCTCTAGATTAAGCTGTAAAGACAGAATGACAAAATTAGCACACCAGTGTTTCCTGGAAAATGCAGGTGGGCCTGGGTCTCCCAAAATGAGTCTGTACCTTTCTGCATTCAAATAAGTATTTAGGTTTGTGGTCTTCACCGTGATGATGAAATGGCCCATGTGAAATTAGCAGRAAGAATTTGATAAATTTTGTTGCATTGGGGGTTGACTTGCAAGAAGCTTGATTTAAAGCTTTTCATAAAAGGAAGGGATAATATGGTATTAGGAATGGTTGCCAGGGACACCGCCTGGACCTTTCTGCTGAAAGGTTAATCCGTAATATTTGAAATGAGGAGGGAAGAAGAAAAAAACGCACAGAAAACCAAAATTATTCAATTGGCGATTTGGCTATTTCTTAAAGTTAACCTCCTGATGAACTGCCTTGAACTTATGGTTCAGATGGCACTGATTAGGCTTACAGTCAGTTTTTTATGTACTTTGTAATTACAGCAAATCCAATTTTATAGTTGTAAAAATTCAATTCCAGATCTGATGCTCTGTTGATTATGTTTCAGTTGGAGCTGTACCTATTTAGTCCAGATTTTTCTTTTTAACATTTATTTCTGCCCGGGCTCTGTGAAAACGTATGTGACCTGAGTATAAAAAGTTGGTCATTTTTCCAAGGCAGCCTTAGGAAGCAGTCACTTTGAAAAGTCAACTGTTCTTGCTTATCTCAGTGGATACAGCCTAAAAAATCTTGTAATTGAATCTGTTGATTTTAATCCAAAGAACATTTCAACATAGCAACATTTTTCTTGTTCTTCAACTTTTGTACATAGGTTTGGTTTTCCCAAGACTTGGATTCTGCAGAAAATATGGAACTTGAGAGGGTTAAAATGCTACTAAGTTAACAGAGCTATCGTTTAACTTTGTGCCTTTTATCTCCTTATACTTCATTAAAGATGACACAAGGACTGAAACTGCTCTTTTTTTGCTTTTTGACTTGACTTTGGAACAATTTCTTGATGTCCTGCGATCTATTTGACCAAACAAAAAGTCAAGACTTTCCATCAATGCAGTGGTGCACCATGCCTGTTCTCCTGCAGCAGGAGGACTTTTGTGAGCTTGACTAGGTGATGAATTACAGCCAGTGCTTTTCCAGCTGGAATTTTGATAACATGATAGTAAATGATGTCCCACTGTGTTGAGCTGATCCTTTATCATCTTGGCCACTGCCATTGCGTGGGCAAGCAGCAGGGATGAAAGTGTSGCGCTCCAGTGAGGCTAACTGCCAATGAAGAATTAAGGTAGACTTTCCTCACAGTGTGGTAGTGACTTCTAGATGTGACAGCATGATGACTGGAAAATGTCACTGGTTTGATTTTTGAGTGGAAATTCGTATTTTACAGTCCTCTTTTCCCTAGGAAAATGGGATCCCTTAAGTGTGGACAGCCCTGTGGGGTAGTTTCTGCAGTTCCTACTGAGCAAAGGGCTCGTTGTTGGTTTCTTCTTTCCTTGCCAGTTTGCAGTAATGAAAGTTGGGTATCTAGAAAGGATGTTGATGAAGCAAACAAAGGTGCTGGATGAAGGAGATTGGAGGGGGGCAAAGAGAATTTTTTTAGGAATTTCTTTACCAATAGCTAGATATCTCTAGAACAGTTTTATTTGAAATGCAGAAGAAAGCAAAATTATCTGAACCTTGACCTAGATTTATGTTTTATACAGCAGTTTCTGGTTTGGATGCCTCAAGATTAGAGTTCTGCACTGCCCTCCTCATTGAAGGACATTAGTTTTTCGAAATCATTTTTTTYGAAATCAGTATTTTTAAAGAGCAGATGCCTGTAGTTTGTATGTGGTAAAAAAATACAGGACACTGGAAAATGTTGGTCTTCTCCTCACTCTTACTTGAATGGAATAAAATACCAGTGTGGTATGTAGAATCTGAAATTAARTGGAGTAAAACCAATGCTTAGGTAAAGCAGAAAAACTGTCAAATACTTTAATTCCTTCAAATACAAAACAAAGGAGTGAAGACAACTACGGAATTCTGAACTCAACTGTTTTTTCTTAAACTCTGAGCATAGAAAAGTCCAAGWTGATTAACTTAAATCAGATACTGTGGTGTAAAAAATGAGTTTAACTTGCTGCCTGTCAGTTTGCTACTGCTGATGCTAAAGATTGCCAGAGTTATGGGGCGAGAGTTGTACTCCTTGCCGTTGTGCATATTTTCATCAATGTCATTTCTCCTAAATGTTTTTTTCCCCAGAATGGAGTTTTAGTAAAAGTAACAGAGACCTGTCCTCCACTGAACTGCTCGGAAAAGGACCACGTTCTTCCAGAGAACCAGTGCTGCAGTGTTTGCAGAGGTAAGCGGAGAGCTCCAGTGCTCGTAAGGAATATATGTTGCTCGTATAACCCGGGCATACAGTGGAACAAGCAGATCCTGTTTAATGAGATAGTAGCTCTAGGACCTCTCTAAACCTGAATGTATCCTTAGCCTTGTCATAAAACTGTTGGTGCTGTTCCTTTGGGGGGAAGAATTGTTAGAGGCAAAGCCATAAGAACTCTGAATATTAAAGAGAGGGARGGAGGAAAGGAAAGGATGAGGAAGAAAGGGCCTTGCAGGACCCAGCATCATTTACGAGCTCCTATTAGGAGGAAGTTATTTGTAATAGAGATGTCTGGTGATCTTGAGCTGTGMTGGATGTAGAGGGTGCTGGTCTCTTTGGAAGGGGAGCTTGAGTTGCTTAAGTTAAGATCCCAAGGTGAGCCTCAAAAGTGCTTCCAAAAGTGGTCAAGCAAAATACATATCAATGAGGACACTTCTAGGCTTAGGAAATTGAGGACCCGTTGGTCTATCTACTTGTCTGAGTGCAAGTTCCAGGTGTCATTGCTGATACCTAAAGAGCARCTCAAATTTCTCCCTTAGCCAGGAAGTATTAACTATAGGTGTGTAGTTAAATATTTAATAAGAGCTTGATATGGCAAGCATATGCATGTGGCCTGAGGCCAGCATATTTCAGACTGCTTGGATCTGAAATTAAGGATGGATACTTATTTTTTTTTTTAATGTTTTTCAGAAACATCTGTAACCAAGTAAACAGAAAATGTTGCTTTTCTGAGCGCTGGGTATCTTAATGCTACTTCATAACAGATGGTCCAGTTTGATGTACTGCAGTATTGAATTCAAAAAGCCTCATTACTTAAGTATTAGAAATTTGAAAGCCTGAAAGTTGATAGAGGATAAGTTCTATGCTTACATAGATTTAATAAATCTTTTAATAAAGGATGAATGTAGGGAATCAACAGAGGAAGAAAATGTGGAAGAAAGTAGGGAAAATTCATTATCTTGTGGAATAAGACCATACCCTCTTCAGGTACCTCTGCAATACCTGCCACRATAATAAGTAAATGCCTAAAATAAAACAGGATGTGCTAGAGGAAAGCAAAAAACCTGTGATGTTTATGGGAATTGAAATTGTGAGTCAGCAAAGTACTGGGTTGAATACTGTAATATACTCAGCTAGAGGGCTCCCGGATGGTCATTATTGTTTGTAAATGGTTAGAAAAGTAACAACAGAAAATGATACCTTTCCTTCCTCAGCCTTGCCATATGCTCTTATAGTATGGCAAAAGCTAACATCCTGTGAAAACCTGGCTTCTAGATCTCAGAGGAATGACTGAACAAGGTATGCAGGTATATACAGATACGTAGATGTATATATACCCAAGGTAGGTGGATTGTGGAAGGACATGGCTGTAAAAGGACAGTTTGTTTTGTGAACTGATGTACCTGAGTGCAAGGAGGAGTCACTATCAGGTCCATATAGAGGTTCTTGCTCTGACTGTTCAGTTTGGCCCTTGAGCTTTGGTTCTTCTCCCAGCAACACAAAGGCTTGTTGTGCTACAGCATAAATTTCTGCCTAAAATGTGTGGCTATTCCATATTTTTCAAGACAATGTGGTATTGGAAAGCACCGTTTTGTAGAAGTTCTAGCTAATTGTGAAACTTTACACAGAATCTTTGTGTGATAAAACACATATTGCCACTTTCTGGTGAATTGTCCATTTTTCTTTCAGCATGCTTACTACACTTTTTATGGCACAGAAGCAAATCTAATACAAAATATAGTGTCATAAAGATGTTTTATTGTTCCTTTTAACTGTTTTTCTCTTTCCCAGAGCCAGTGTATCTGTTTGAAAGAGTGATCTTTTTCCCTTCTTTTGAATGAGTGATTCAAATAAAGTTTCAGGAGCGTATTTTCGTGTTGTTATGCTCGCAGTGTTGGTAGGTAAGAACAGACTTGGCAGCCTTAGCTGCTTCAGTCATCCCCTCCTTAAAAGAGAGAGCATGAGAAATAATGAAGCAGGCCAAGTTGTTTGCTTTCGGGAAGAAGTCATTTTTTTCTTTGCTGTCCTCTCTTAACCTGGTTTGTCTGCTAGAATTAGATTGACTGCTGACACTGGGTTGCAGGAGATGGAGAACCCCACTGACGAGCAGGAGTGTGTATTTTACCACAAAAATCAGGAGCTGAATCCAAAATGCTGGGGCTACTGCTGTACTTACGTGTAGTGCTTTGTTGTAATTAAAAAATTCCTGATTATTTCAACTGCTGCTTGAGAAGGCTCCTGAAGAAGCATATTTCTCATTTCTCCCTCTAGCTATGGAACAGAGTTTTGCTTTTGTACAAATCAAATTTTCTTGTGCATTGTTACAAGGTCTGAATTATTTCAAGGTGTCTTTAGTCCCTTACTGGAGGTTGATAAATATGAATTAATTGCTTCCTATACATTGTTACAGCAGTGTTAAGGATTTTAAGGGCTTTGTCCTCAAAGCAGTCGTCTTTATAAGCTCGTTAGGCAGCGCAAAGCCATTTCTCTCCTGCATGCAAATAAACAGCATGTAATAAGGCTGTCATTCATACAGCAGCTTGAAAGAATTTGCCAAGTTAGTTTTATGTCAAACCCTTGAGTTCTGGGACCGTGGTCTCAGAAGGTATAAAAGCTGTGCCAAGTGCCTCATTGCTCCTGGCTCATTAAAAACCGATTCAGATCCTCAGAGGGTGTAATTGCTAGTGCAAATTTGATGGCTCTTCCTGCGAGATGTCCCACAGATCTGCTTTATAAGTTCACCTAGCAAGTGAACAGTGATTTTTGAGGGTGAAATTACCTTAAAATGTTTCTGAAGATTACTGATCCTGTTAATGACAACGTGGCCGGCCTCCTTTCTGGAAGGAAAACTGTGATGGGAAGCGGTGAATGTGTGGCTTGCTGAAATGGTAGATTATTGAACTGGCTAATGAAGAGAGATCTTGGAGGAAGTACAGAAAGTTTTGAAAGTGCTATGGGGAAACAGAGAAATGGGGAAGGTCCCACTGATGACACTGAAGCGAGATGGATAGAGAATCTTGATGACAACAGTATTCTTGAATTGAGTTCTTGTATCCTCCAGTAATTAAGATGAATTGACCAACATGTTAGGGGCTTAAATAATTAGATCACAGTGCAAAGCAGCTTTGTGCATTGCCCTGGAATTGCTGATTCTGGGAACTGGGACCTGAAGAAGTTTAGCAAACTGAAAATATTATCTAAGTGGCTGAAAATGGAATAAATGGTTRATTTCCAATAAACTACTTGAGACTTCTTGGTCCTCTAAGTGTAGCTTCTGATGCTGCACAAGTGAATTTTATGCATAGCAGCACAAATCTGAACACTTTCCTAACTCTTAGCACATCTATTAGTGATCATTGTGCAGTGAAACATCAGAAGAATGATACAAATACACTTTCTTAAGGAAAAAAATGAAGCAAACGTTTCAGCAGCCTCAAGAAGGAGGACAGTAATGTTATCAGAAACATTTAGGGAAGGAACAGAGGTCATCAGGCCCATCAAAAATCTGAACACACTCTTCAATATTTAATTCCCCTCATGCTACTATCTAATTGTATCTTGAATGTCTTGAATGACTTTGAAGGGCTGTTGTGCACGTTTATGATTTCCTGTGTATATGTGGGGAAAATGGATTCTGACATCTGTTGTGAATGTGCCTGTCCATAATTTTAATTCATTCTCCCTGGCCTTGTCATCTGTGTTGGCCTGAAATTAGGTTAGATTATCAGAACTATTTAAGATTTTGCGTGCTTCTATCAAGTCCTCTCCAATTGGGGGCTTGCTGGGATGCAATGATTCTATTTAAAGTCTCCTCTTATATTTGGAGGGCAGCTGGCTGTCTCAGATAAGACTTTGCTGAATATTCTGAAGAAATTCGATTATTCTCACCTGGGTAATAGGAGTGGGTTGCTCCACCAGGGACCACCAGTGATGGGGATCTTCACGTCATGCTGCAGTATCAGCAAGTGATTTGACTGTGTGCACAGGTATTTTAAAGGACTCCTAGGATCCATTTCACAGCAAAGAACTAATAAAAATCAGATGTTTGCATTCCTACCCTTTCTGCTTGCTTGGGAATAAGTAATTTCTCCCATGAATACAGACCGGCCGTGCATAGGTTGACATTTAAGCTAAGTCCAAGCTTGTTGATTTGAGCCCGTGGAAGCTGAGCACTGCATAGGTGGCTTCTTTCTTCGCATTACAGTCCAAAGACCAGGTGGCCTTAATTTGCCTGAAGAGCAGGGATGGCACTGCAGGCTGATASCAAGGAAGATAAAGCAGCCAGCACTTTATTACTTCTATGCATCCAAAGCGCGAGCTGGGAAGCRTGAGTCAAGTCAAGAGCAGTACAACCTAGGAATGCTTCTCTTAGCTCTTTTAAGATGCTGAATGTGCTTCACTGGGTAAAACATATTTAAAAAAAAATGCTTGCAAGAGCCTGTGATCCAAGGGACAGCTCCTTTCAATATAGTTGCAATGAACCCGTATTCTTCAATACCATAGCTTACATTTTTCTGCTGATTGACATTAAACTAGCTTGGCTTTGTAAAACCTTTTTAACATACATTGAGGCAGTGTGCCTGCTCTTAACAGAGATGCTTTGCCACAGGGCATCTATGGAGCTATTGAATCACTTTTTCAAAATCGAGATAGTCACTTTTTAGTCAACAGTTTTAAAAGTAGCAAACAATTTCACGTGTCTTTTTTAATAATAAATGCCAAGGCAGTCTACAGATGTGGCAGGCGTTCTAACATTTTGTGTTCTTAATAAGATGAGAACAAAAAAGGTGTTTAGAGCCTCTAATTACACATAGGTGAGTTACAAAWCCGGAGTGTTTTCTTCTGTGCTCCTTTTACAAGCTTCAGCCTTAAACATTAGCAAGAGTCTGACTCCGAATGGAGATGGCTCAACTCAAATAGAGTTGATAAGGGGTGTAAAGTTGATAAGCAGTAACAACACAGCTGAAGCATTCTGAGAAAAGTGAAATACTTGATGCAAGTTTGGAAAAAGGAGAAATATGTATATACATATAATAAATCCATAGACTGTAGTAACAATCCCTACTAAATTAAAATTTTTCCCCATGTGGTATTAGTGCTGTGCCTAGCCCAACATGCTAATATGTTGCTGAGACTCTCTTAGTAGTGGATCCCAATAATCAAATATAACAATATGTGAGTTCAAAGATGAGTTATCATCCTGCAGCAGCAGGAAATAGGATGTCACAGTCTTGGGGGAAGGAGTGACATAGAAAATATAGAATTCCTCATCTCTTGCATATGATTTGGAAGGCTATCAGAATATTAATCCTACTCAGTATAAATTAGATGCTGAATGGATAAGTTTGGGGAGATGAATTCCAGTGTTCACTTTCAATTATAATTATGAAGGCAAAATGAAAAGTCAAATACTGTGATAGAATAAATGGCTAAAGGCTGTGGCACTGCACCCTTTCTTCCCTTTTTTATTTTCCAGTGTGAAATGCTCCCAGGCTYGATAAGGTTGTATCTGGAATACTTCGGTGGCTTTTACTAGACTGTGAAATGAGTGAAGGCTGGAAAGAATATCTGCAGTTTTCATTAAAGGAGTCAAAAAAAAATAAAGACCCAAAGAGTGCTTTTTTGGGGGAAATGAGGAGGGGAGATGAATTTGAGGGAAAGAATCAGGAAGATACCTTGATTGTTTATGAAATTGTTCTGAAGTAGAGAGTTGAACACTGACAAATAATCTACATTTGCTTCCAYAGGTGAAATCATGTTTAATATGAGCTAAAATTTTCACAAGGTCCCTAAATATCAAAGCAGAGAGTATGAACAAAGGTCTGAGCTTGACATTTAGGCCTTCAAAGTCCAAATCTTCTTTTCCTTAGCGGTCTTAATTTTAGGAAGCTTTAAGATCAGTGAGGCAGAACTTTTACCTTGCTCCTTGATGACCAAAATTGGCAAAAACTATTTCTATATTCATTGAAGTGTAAACCGGAATACATGTAGCTGCTATTATGCTTATGTTTTGGATTACTTGTGCCTGTAAATTTTTAAGTCAACAAAAAATGGTCAGATAAAACAAAAAGAAAATCCTTCCTTCTTCCAGAGAAGACCAGAAAGAGTAAGACTAAGCAAAATGTAATTTATATATTTTATCCTGGGTAGGCTCAATAGAAGGCTAATGTATTGGCATAGCTTCCTGCTTTGGGGACTTCTGACTAAAAGCAGTCATACAAATAATTTTTTTAACAATATTATACTTCTAAGAATGCCTTGCTAGAGGAATCTGCAAAGCCTCTGTGTCCTAGGTTGGGCAGAAAGAAGGTTTCTGGAAAGTATCTTGCCAAAGGTATTCAGAGCATAATACAGTCAATGCGAATACTATATTCTCTGTAACTGAAATAAATATGACTTAATACCTGGTTGTGTTTCTTGCATTTCAGGACACGACTTCTGTGCAGAGGGACATGTGTGTGGGGAAAATTCAGAGTGCAAAAACTGGAACACGAAGGCGACCTGTGAGTGCAAGAACGGGTACCTCGCTGTGCAAGGGGACGCCGCGTATTGCGAGGGTAAGCAGAGACCTGCCCCCTGAACATCCCCAGAAACACAGAGCTGGAAAAYGGCTGGGGAATAAATTGCCTTGCCAAGTTCAGTTTGCATGATGGCCTGTATCATATGGACCTCTTTTCATTTAAAAATGTTTATTTTACATTGCCAGACAGCTAGAAATAGCTCTGGACTATTCAAATTACCTGTCTACGGACATACTTTGTTATGGTTCAGCCTTGCTGTGGCCATGCTGCTGTGATGTGTTTCAAGCTACCATTTTTTTTCAGGCAGCAGTACCTACCTTGGATGCTTTTTTTTTGTGGAAAGATCATGTTTATAATATGCATCAGTGTACGAAGTAGGATTCTGGTAGCATTTGTTGGAAAGCTAAGTGTGGTGGTTTATTAGGACTGGATATTGAAATGGTGCTCTGCTGGACTTGCTGAAATCYTTCTGTGGGCCAGGTACTTCTCTGAAATGGTTGTCTTATTATACAGGTATTTCGGATAGATCTGCATCTACAGATAATGTGCAATACAGTAATACAATACAATATTACAGATATTACAGATATATCTGTATATACAGCTATATACAGATATACATATTTCCAAGGTGAGTCTAGCCAAGGTTCTTCTGATGATGTCTTACTTCATCACTGGGAAGGATGCACTGTGACGTTTTTACTTTATCTTCTTTTTTCTTTTGGTGCTAGTGTTTTCTACAGCTTGCTCTTACGGTTAACTATGACTTATTAAAACTGAACYGATGAATAACACATTCCTTTCTGCCTTTGCTTTGTGAGGTTGCTGATGCCCTTGCCTATCAGGTTGCAATATATTTCATCTTTTGGCCACCGTAGGACATTTTTGCACTGCTTTATCAAAATGTTTCCACAGATTGTTCCTCGCAGTGCCTGCGATAGGAGGGAGATGACTTTTTTTGACAAGCTGTTAAAATATATCAGAAGAGTAGGAAGACAAGATGAAAGAACAAAAGGCAGACGTGCATGAACTGGCTTAAATGATCCCACTTTCATGGGGGGGAGAAAAAGCTTTTTCATGAAAAAAGTGAACAGGATTGCTTTAAGTAACAATTACCAAGCTATTTGATGAGCTGTAATTATAAATCTTACAGCATTTTATCAGTGCATGAGCAAAAATGAATAGTTCTGCATATGGACTATCAGGGACTTTGTTCTGAATGTCGTAGGCAGCAGATACGCTGTTTATTGAGAGACTTGCACCAAAAAAAAACCCTGTGAGAAGAGCTGTTGTGCGGCTATTGCAAGCACTACTCAGAAATCAAAAGGCAGTGATAAGGCTCTTTATTGGGAGTGCTACAGATTCCAGTATTTTGTCTCTTTTGACACATATTTTTAGAATGTGATAGTATTTAAAATTTTACTTTCATCAATTCTAGTATTTTGTTGGCTTTGTAGTAGATTGTTTTTTTTCTCCATGGCAGAAACATAAACATCATGGCTTAAATATTTTGTGAGCGTGGGCAGTGTATTGACAATAGTGGYGGGAGACAGAAAAAAGAGCTTTTGGACAAATGAGTTGACGTTATTTCTAGTCTGTGTTGTATTGGCCCTGTGGATGAAATGTRTTTCAGTGTGGAGGAAATGCAAGACAACAGAAAAACTCCAGCTTTTTTTTTCTCCCTAAGAATATGGGATAAATAAAGGAAGGGGAATTTCTAAATGTTAAGTTATGACTAAATTGAGTGCAGCTTCTGGGCAATCACTTGGAGAAGAGGASACACTTTGGCTTGGCCAACTCCAGGTTGTGGAACTGGCTGGCCGGAAGGTAGCTCCGCGGAGTCATCTCCTAGTTGTCTGCATAACACTTAAATGCATAGCAAAGATGTGATTCAAATCAAGACGTAGATGAGGATCTCAAGGCCAGATTTGGCAAGTTTGGTGGGTGCAAGTTTAAGTACAAGGTTCTCTTTCCTGAAGAGTAGTGACTTTCTGTATGTGCCGTGAGAATTAAATACACAAAATGCCCGAACCGACTGAAGCACGACGCTGTAAAAGGGCAGCAAATATGGAAGCCTGAGCTATAGTTTTGAATTAATCTCTGTCATTTCTAAGGCTTTAAACTGAAATGGCAGTGAAGATTGCTGTTTCCTTTGAGACAGCGAAGCTGAACTATTTCATACGTGTGACATACGCTGGTAAGTGGCACCTTAGTTGGAAATGCTCTGCATCATTACCTTAGCATTACCTAGAGGAGCTTTGCAGACCTCTCATTTTTTTTCCAACACATTTGAAATACTTGTGTATGTGAATTTTAATGCATAGTATTAGTTTACCTTCCCTGTAGTTTTTCCTGGAGTTTCTGCCGGCTCTTAAAGACGCAGTGTCATCCTGCTGTAGTGTTGACCCTCTGGAATTCTTTTGATACTGTAAGATCTGAAGAACACGAATCTTTTTATTTGATTATCMTTTGTATTTGTGTTTTGTCTTTAAGTGTTTTATGTTCGTACTTGTGTAACCTTGGAAAAAATAAGGTGCTCAAGTCTCTCAATTGACATCAGCGAATTTCAGTAAATCTGAGAATGAAAAATAGCTCATTCTCAACTTTGTCAAGCARATAGCAGCTAATTGTATTAAAATATGTAGGATAACTACTTAGCAAATAGATGCTTTTGGAGTAAAGCAAATGTTTTTAGGGCAGTCTGTCTTGAAAACCAACAAATGGAGCTTTCGTGTTTCACAAGCATTTGTGTTGCAGCTATGGATTTCCAGCACGTGGGACGTGAGCATGAGTGAGGGCTGGTTGGGTAGAGGTGGCACAGAAGCTCCGTGGTAAAACCAGGGCTGTCATGGGGAATTCAGCTTGTGTTGTGTTGCTTCTTCCAGGTTTTGTGATGGGCACAGCAGATGGTTTACGCGCTGCAYGTGGAGCCCGAAAACTCCATGGCCTTTGACCACTTTCCAAATACTAGTAGAGGCAGGAAAGTGGAGACGGCAAATGGAGAGTTTGAAGCCCAAAGATGAAATGAGAACATTTGGGCCAAATCAGTTGAAAGTTAGGGTTATTGCTAGCATGATTATCCTCATTTTCTAGAAGAAGAAACGACCAGTTCTTCTGTGAAGAACTCAGTGAGGTTCACCTGTATACCTCTCAGTGAAGAGCAAAAGCAGAGCAACTTCTTTCCCTTCCACATTTCAGTTCCGTTTTCTTTACTGTTTTCTTGCCTGAAATATTAATGGTCATTTTGTGCCAACCAAGTTGTCATATTGGTGCAGTTTCACCTTTGTTTCATAGTGATAAGACCAGCTCCGTGAGGAATACTTCAGTGGAATTAATTCAGGTGGCATAGGTTTTTTCTTGTATGACCTGAYCTCCATGGTCATTTTACTGCTGTTAGCTTACAGACTTAATGCACTAAATGCCTTAATCTTTATGAAGATACTTCCTGTTTTTTGTCTCAATAGTGTCCTGTAGAGCCGCTAGGCGCTTCACCTTTCCCTACTCCAAACATTTTATCTTAACTTGCTGTTATAAAGTTATTGCCCATCTTATAAATGTCACAGAAGTCACGAAACATTGCTGAAAGACTTAATGTTTTTCTGAAAATCTGCTTTTTTAGTAAGAGGAAGAGTTGTAATAACTTTCCAAGAATTGCAGCTTTGAGGGAGGTGGCATAGAGATGAATAAAATGATTCTCATAACCTTCACCAAGGGAATCCTTTTCAGTTTGCTTAACTGAGTGGCAACCCGCCATCCCAGGAGCATCCCTACTTGATAGAGTTTTGTCTTCTCTTGTATAATTTATTTTCCTATCAGCATTTGCATCAATCCAATCTGGTATTTCTAACAATTATTGGCTGACTCCCCAGAGAATAGCGGAATGCTGTTTTCTGTATACATTTCTTTTCTCTTATGAGCAAGTTAACTAGTTCTGTGATGTCTGTGGTCCAGCATAACAAAGAGCACAAGTAGGATGTGTACGACCTTTTTCTGCTTGAGCATGGACTCAGTTTAATCCCTAACAGGCCATTTCCTAGGGAATATTTCTAAACTAAAAAGAAAGAAGTGTGAAAAGAGATGATGAGATAAACTTAAYTGAATATTCTCTGGGAAAAAAAGACAACCATAGAGGTAAGACAAATTTTCTTTCCTGGTTTTAAAGCCTTTACTACCTTTCGGGCCATTTATCTGGCTGTTCAGTGAATCATTTACAAGCTACTTAATCCTGAAAACTGATAATTATCCAGGCTTCAGCACAGGTTATATGATGACCTTCTCCTTGCTTACTCTGTTCTCCTATACTAAGATTRGGGGTAAATAAAAAGTTAGATGCCATAGTCTTGAACGTGTTATTGACCTTTTGTTCCTATTAAGGTGAAAATTCCCTTGTGACTCACTGCATGCAGAAGTGTTTCAAAAGGAATGATCCTTCCTCTCTTCTTTCCTGTTTCTTAATAGATGCAGCTAAATTAGAGCATTTATGGAAAACCTTCCAACTATTTTCCTGTTGACCGAACTCACCCTCTTTAAAACATTGACTTCTTGTATTCAGCTTTGTCCTTGTTTGTACCAGAACAACCCTCCCTACCTAYGTGAATGGGGGGAAATATCATCCTTGCTCTTTGGTTTGCTTTAACGCCATGCAGAAATAAAACTTATTTCTGTTGCAATCATACAAGAACAGGGAAATCTCTTGTCATACTAGGTGGCTTTAAAGTGTTTTTAAAAAGACACTTGTGAACCTGCTTTTTAAGGCTTCACAGTGGCAGCTTATGGCTTCCAGTAATGTATATAACTGTTGACTAGTTCAAGTCCCTTCCTTTGGATATACGATTCCAATATCACGTTTTTCCTGTCTACTGTTTTCATAAAGACATTTTATTTTAAATGATGCTCTTAGCCATTGTATGACTTAAATTTGTCTTCTGTAATATGATCAGAAGGCAGATGATTAATCAGCCCTTGYGTTTGTGAGTTTATGGCCTTTTAAATGAGGCTTTGGTCTCCTTGWATATGAGCTTCTAACAGAAGAGGCA